ATCTATTGAAATAAACTAAATGAAATGAATAAAGGATTAAAATTAGAAAAGAACAATTAATAAAAGTAAAACACAAAATCGACTAGACAAAAAAACAAACATATATCAAATATTATAATGTTTTATGACTAAATTTCGAAAAAAAATTAATTAACAATTAACAGAATAACGTTAACAGATTTATATTTAACGATTAAAATTAATGATTAATAGATTTAACAGAAAATTGATGTGAAAAGCCACAATAAAATTAGACCAGCAATTAGTTGCTTAGTAAGAAACTGGAATTAGTAGTAATTAGAAACTAACAGTAGTGGCTGAAAATAAATAAAATTAAATGTTACATTTATACATGCAAAATTTTTTTTTCCTTTTCATAAAATAGAATGAAATTTATGTTGTAAAATGTTTAATACATATTAAATAAGTAAAAGAGGAGAAAAAGAAATGGATCGAAACCTTTTACATTCTATTTCAATATATCAATACGAAGCGAAGAAAAAAAAAATCTTTTTTTTTAATTTCAAAATGCGTCTGATATTATTCATCAATGAACGAAAAGAAAGAGAAGTTAGAAAAGGCGAGAAAAAAAAGGAAAGAATTATGTAATGTATGAATGTACAGCTAACATAAGTGGCAGAAAATAGTTATCAATAAAATGCAAACAATAAAAGTTATCACTATTTTAACTTTAAGTAATAATTAGAAAATAAATTTCTACACATGTATAATAAACGGAATTAAAAAATTTTCCAGTCGTAACTTTTTTTTTGTTAATAATTCATCTAATTTTCTTGTTAGTGATTCATCTTCATCTAATTCATCTAATTAATAATTCGTATTATAATAGAAATTATTACGAAGTGTGATGTGGAATTCTCATAATTCATAATCATTTTTTCCATTTTTTTGTTAAATCTATCTTTTTATATTTTCATACTTATCCCATTTTAAGTTGATAATGATCGTTTTGAAAATTAGTTATTCAAATGAACAGACAATTTAAGAGCATATATGATAATATATAAGTAAACTATTAGGTAAGAGAATAGTAACAAATAAATGAAAAAGAAAAAATGTATGTAAAGGAATAAATACTTACTTTTAAAAAATGTAAAGAAGTAAGCAAATAAATATTACATATAAACAAATAAATATATAAATAAATAATATTCTGTATGATTTATTGAAATTGAATGCATTTGATTATCGCAAATATAACAAGAATAGGGAAGAGAATATAAATACTAGAACTATAATTATTGACTTCAAAATATGCATACTTTTTTAGCTAAATACTAAAGAAGGATAGGTAAATTTTGTGAAACATTTCGTTAGCATTGATCATTAATGAGTATTTAAATAAGTAAGCATGAATATAGGAGTATATAAATAAATGTCTAAATGATTAAATAAAGAAAACAGACAAATAAATTGATAAGATAATAAATTAGTACACAAATAAATGAGTAATTGAATAAGCAAGTAAATTAATAAATAGTTAATTAATTCAGCAAGTAATTAGAAAGTCAAACGACATCTCACCCCCTTAATTATGCCGGCATTTAACCTTGAAACCTCGCAAAGTACTAATTTAATCAAACGATATTTTGGTTTAGCATTTTGAGAATAGACCAGCTGGTTTTAATCCATTTTGATAATTTGCGAAACTTATGTTTTTTTAAGAAGCATTTCGAGCTGTTTTTTCGTTTCCTTTCATCTTTACTGTTTTTTTTTTTCATTTTTTAGTTCTCGAAATGCTTACAATCATGTTATACTGTACTATTTTGCAACTCTTCTACTACTTTATGCTATCACTTAAATTTCATCAATAATCGTATCTTTTTTTTTAAACATTGACTTTTGCTAACTTCTCAAATTGAAATTTTATTTTTTTCCAATTTTTAATTCCTAATCGTTGCTTTTTGCAATCAGATATTAGTTTTTTTTTCCTAAATTTTTATGCTATTCTGGTTAAATGATGAATTTTTCACGTTCTTTTGAATTCATTTCCGCATATGAAACTTTTTTTTTTGCTTCTTTTCATTTCTTCTCTTTCATTTATTTCTCGAATTACATCTTTTCTTTCTTCTACGAAATTTTGCCATTTGCGGTATTTTTAAGAATTTAGTCAGATTTATTGTTGTGGTAAAGGAATGATCACTAATAAAAAAAAAACATTGAGAAAACAGGAATTATAAGTGTAATGTACGGATAGTTTTAAAAGTTTTGAATGAACTATTTGTACTCGGAAGTTTTCATGCATATTTCTACTTCCAAGTAATTTGGAAGATTTATGGGATAAATTTTGTTAGAATGATATATTTCATAAATTTGTCTTGATCATATGTCATGCATAACAAAAGAGAGATTAAAGAGTACAGTAGAGCTTATTTACAGAATTAAAAAAGATAAAAA